CTGAACTTATTAGCTCTAATACGAATACGTATATTCTTTCAGATCTTCTATATACAAGAGGACGTCATCTGAAAATAGAGATAGTGTTACCTTTTCCTCTTTGGGTTTATACTCCTGTGGCTTTTCTCTCTGTTCCTTTCCCAATTGCCCTGGCTGGAACCTTCAACAAAATATTTACTAACAATTAGGAGAGTGGACATCCTTATCTTGTTCCTGACCTTAGAAGGCAGCGTTTAGCCTTTCAAAGTTAAGTATGATACCAGCGGTGGGTAGTTTATAGATATCCTTTATCATGTTAAAGGTATTCTCTTTCATTTCTATTGGGTCATCAAGAAAGTCAAGACATATTTTTCTATGCAAAAATACATCATGACTTTCTTGATGACCCAAAAGTTTACTGATTGTTTTTAATCATTACAATTTTACATACTTCCTTTTGAAAAACACATGTTTTTATGAGAAATAACTGATAAATCTCAAGAAAATTTCTCCAGATAGTCAAGTTCTGATCCAGCTGTGGGGGAAAAAGCAGCTAGTGCAAATTTTTAATGCTACAAAATGTGTTCAACACAATGTTAAGTATGTAACTTAAAATAAAAATATGTTATCCATCAGACCTCAATTACGAATGGAGGAAAATATGGAAAGAAACAAGAAGGAATTAATAGTGTGTCTCTTTAGATGGTGAAATTATGGTTGCTTATTATTTTCTTCATAATTTTCTATATATTCCAACAAGTTAATACATTACTTTTATTACCAGGAGATAGGGAAATCACCGAAAATCAGCATAAATAAATTTATTTTGTATGAGAAAAAGAGAGAGAGAGAGAGAGAGAAAAGAGACAGAGAGAGATAAGTTTAAAAAAAGAGTAACAGCACCAGTGATGAAGTGAGAACAAGTAAATGTGTGAGGTCAGGGAAACTAAGCTATAAGACTGTATTCTAAGTGGCTGACACTGATGAAAAATATCTTGGTTCCTGGGTGAGAAAGTGAGAAAGTTTAGGAGTAGCTGGAACCCTTGGGGATGACATCCTGGAAGAAAAGGAAACTCTTGGAGTGACTATTCTACAGATCAGCAAGTTGTGAGCCACCATGTGGGGAGCAGAGCCTACCTGTTTAGCAGACAAAGGGATTAGAATAGGATCCAATTTAAGAAGTCTTGTGGGCCTACTTGGGCACAGGAATGTGAACTTGAGTCCATGGACAATGGAAGCTAGTAACCTTTGTCATTTTGGTTGCCATGATATGTTGAACCTGAAAGTCATGGGTTCCATGACTCAAAAGTGGTGGTGAATATTTGAATCAATAATTTTCCATTTCTGTAGGTAAAATGATAAGTTGAAAACAATGCAGGAAGTGCCACATGAACTTAAAGCCTTGGCAGCAAAAGGCAAAGATGAGAATTCCTCAAAAATAAGCCATCTTTTTAGTGGTGGACTTACACACTTCCACTGCAAAGTCAATTACCTGGTCTATGTCATGTACTTAGTAAGTTTTGTTAAACTATGGGTCACCTTTAGGCTATAATAGCCCTACCTCTCCTCTCACCTCCGCATAAATTTCTTTTTCTTTAATGTTTTTGCCATAGGGAGTGTACTCTTGCTGGAGAGACAGAGAAAGACAGTGAGTGGGAAAGCAATAAATCAACCACAGGGGGATGGCCACACTGCAATCCCTTCTTCTCCATTCTCCTCTTGGAATTTTGGAAACACATGCAACAACACTATTGTGAGTTTAAGCCACTGAATCTGGGACTCGAATCTTGGCCAGCAATGTGGCTGTCCAGCACCTCAACCACTACATCAACTGCTGGCCCCTCCACCTAAACATTTTAACTCTTAGGCAAAAGGGCTGTCTGAGATTCTTCCTCCACTCAGAGGATTTAAGTCTGTGCTTCTTGCAGTGCAGAACACAATTATCAAAGACAAGGGCCACACTTTCCACACTTCCATTTGTCGAGGGTCTGAAAACTAGTTACAACTGCAGAATTAGAGCACAGAAAATACTTTTTGAAGCAATAAATGAATTAAATTTCTAAATAAAATGATGGTTCAACTATCCATAACGTGGACATGGTAACTCCTTGTTACTTGGCTTGTTATAAATCCATCTACAAAGTTCTGTAAACCTTCCCTAAATGTTGAACCTAAAATCTTGTCAAAATTCCTCAGAAGAAATAGTAGCTACTGCTAACTTAATTTTTTTTTCTTTATAACAGGCCCAATTAGCTTTATCTATAAAGAGCCAGATAGTCTGGGGGCCATCTAGTCTCTGCTGAAACTACTCATCTCTGTCCTTGTAGCAGGAAAACAGTCATAGACAATACACAGATAAACAGCCATGGCGTTCTGATGAAACTTTATTTATGGACATTAACATTTGAGTTTCCCATAATTTTCATGTCACAAAATACCACACTTCCTTTGCTTTATTTTTCAACCATTTAAAAATATAAAACCTATTCTTGGCTCATGAGCTGTACAAAAAGAGGTGGTGACGGGGCAGATTTGACCCATGGGCCATCTTTTGTCAACTCTTTAAAAGATGAACTTGAGGGAGTAGAATCAATAACCATATTACAAGCTCATTTGTTTGAGAGGTTTTCTCTTTCCCAAGATGCACAATCACTAAACTCCTCAGGAATTAAATGAGTGAATTTTTTCAGAACTCAACCCATTGTCTTTGCATCTGTTCATCTCTCAATACCTATTTTGTTTTGTTATTCCCCCCTTCCCCGTTACTCTTTCGCTTTCTAAATTCTTAGCTAACGCTCCGCTCCTTTGATGCACACACCCTTGTAGACCAGAGGGAGAGTTCAATGAATGAACACACCTGTGATGGAAGGTAGTGCTGAGGAAAACCAAAGCCCCCATAAAATGGCTTCCCTCTTTTAGTTTCTGAGAAAGAGCAAACTTTCTATGTGCTTCCTTTTAAAATGCAACAATGTAAAGGTCACAGAGGAGGAGATGAAACTCGGAGTTGTAATAAGGAAGGAGAAATAAAAAATAATGACAGAAATAAATTGTCATAAGAGGGGATACAGTTATGATTTATTGTGATATTCTACAAATTTGGAGGTGATTAAAAGCCACCTAAAATTCACATTAACAAGTCACATAAAAATGGAATTAAACTAGTGGGCATAATGTGGCAGGGTATAAAGAAAAATCATGACAGAAATAAATTGACAGAAGAATGATACTATTCAAGTTTTACTCTGTCGCGCCACCCTGACAGGAGCCTAGTATTTTAATTTCAGAGTTGTGGTTGAGTTTTTGGAGTTCATTAAAGGCCCACATTAAGAATCTCATAAAAGTGAGAAGAAATTAGTGACCATAATGTGGCAGAGGAAATAAAGAAACAATAATGACAGAAATAAATTGACAGAAGAATGATACACTTAATGTTTCACTCTGACACCCTCTATTAATAGGCCGCTGCAAGCTGGAACAAATGTCATTCATATTTTAGCCAAAGTATACCACTAATTAGGCCAGCTCTCTGCACTGGAATTAGATTTGAGATCCCTCACCTTTAGAGTGGAATCATTTGAATTCTAAAGAAAAGAGCTGGTGACAGAAAAAAAAACTTTCTACTTGGGCTTTTCTAATGAGATAAAATTCCCCCTTCTCCCCATTTCCCAGCTATAATTGCTGATTATGTTGTTACATAGCCGCGGCTCTCGGCTCTCTCCTCCCATCATTATGATCTAGTCTGGCATATCAGGAGGCTTCAAACGCAGACTGGAGTGGTTTGAGTCTAATTTAGTGCTCATTTAGGCCGCAGGTACCACACAAGGTAAACACTGCATTGTTATAATTAATTACCCCTTAGGCCTCGCCAGGCCATCTCTGTTTCAGCTGACCCTTATAATAATAAGGCTTCCGGGCATATTGTATTTCTTTTGACAGATTAATTAGAAATTCAGCCGTGGAGGTACAAAGCAACTCGGTCATGAATATTTAAATGGCCTGACACAAAAAATCATGAAAGGGCTGCTGAACTACATGACGGACAGGGGATATTAGGCAAGTGACTCTAATCAATAATCTCTTGATCTCTTACATATTAATACACTGCCTGCTGTTATTAAGCTCCGTAATAAGGAAGGGGAGAGAAAGTTAGTGTAGCTCTGCTGTAGGCCTCAGCGAGGCCCCCAGTGATTACGCTAACTGACTGAGAAAATGCACAGAGGAGCCGAGCCTCAGCCTCTTCAATCTAATCCAATCTTAAGGAATGGCAGCTCTGAGTAGCACCGACTGGATAATTATTGGCGCTGACAAGGTGAGGGCGTTTGCAGGCAAATGAGCTCGGAAGCAGCCCAAGTCCCTAGACCACCCAGAGCAGGGCACGCGGAACACCAGCCCGCGCTGCTGTTCGCCTTGTAGGGGCTGAAGCGGGGAGCCACGGGGGGACCAGAGCCCTGCTGAGACTGGGCCAGGGGCGGTGGCCTACGAGGGCTGGGGCTCACCGTGCCTGTTGTCGGGGCGACTCTAACACCAAGTCAACGAGATTTACTTGGGGTCCCTTTGCTCATCTCTTCCAACACCAAGGCCACTGAGTGAATTAAGTAGCAGAGGCAGCTGAATATCATCTAAATTCATTACTGGAGGAGCTGAGTCCTCCCAGCCCACTGCGAGCTGAGTGTTCTGCCACTCCATACCACCAACAGCCCACGTGGGCCCAGATACTGCTGCCTCCCCAGACTGGCAGCTAATGAACCTTGGGACACAGCAGGGCACCCAGGGAGACCCTGTAGAGCTACAGGAAGCCTGGGACAAGTGATCCCTCTGAGGGTGAGACTGGGCGGCAGGGAAACTAGATGGGTGCTCAAGTGGGCCCTCTGTTGGCCCAACAGCTCTGCTCTTTGGGGGCCTTAGACCGTATTTACTCCAGAGTCCCCTGGGTCTTTGCTGGTCAATATCTGCTGAGATCCTTCCTGTGCACAACAAGAAAACATGAGGCAATAGTCTCTTTGGTCCAGAACGTTTTCACAGGCTGCCTGTACTGAGAAGTAAAACCAAACAAAACTACAAACACAGCACACAGTTAAGGTGCTTAACTGAGTCCCTAGTGAGGGCCCATGAGGACAAGTCTGTACGGAGTCTGGAGGGACAGTTGCTACCTGAGGCTCTCAGATCTAGTCCAGGCTGAAGTCAGAGCTGCTGGACAGCCAGGCTTCTCTCTCCAAGGAAATTCTGTGGCATCCCCCTGGAGAGAAATGTTCCTCTTCACACTAGGCGCTCTCAACTGGGAGGCTATTTAATTTCAGATCTGATTCGTTCTCCCTGATGCCTCTGCCTCTCCCATCCAGCCACGAGGGATGTGAATGAGGCACTGAGGAAATTACTTCTTCACATGCTGCATGTGGCAGGCTGCAGATACACACTCCCAAATACAGAGTATCAGCTCTACCGAGAGGGTTGTTTCCATTTTATGTTGAGACAAATGGAACCAGTCCAGTGTCCAGGACTGTCAATGGGTGAGACTCAAGAAATCTCTCTGGGGCT